CAAAGGCACTATCTGATGTAGAGTCTTCGCATGCTCCAACCAATTTGTAAAGGCTGAAGCTAAGTTTTTTTCAACAATCAGAATTTTTAGCTAGCGAGAAACTCTGAGCAAATTTCTTTCTTAGACAAACTCAAAAATCAATTGTATGTTATTAAGTGAGTTTTTTCACTGCGACTAGTACTTTTATTACAGAAAGTGTTAGCAAATGGAGCATCCAAACATGAGAGTGTTCTGTTTAAAAGGTAATTATTTTCAGTATTTCCAATAACAGTTTGAGCACTGCAAAGAAGCTGTATAAATGGATATAAGACAGGTCTTTTTTTCTGTAGCATTCTTTAATACTGGTCTAGAAGTGAAGGATAACTTCATTTTAAAGCAAAGGCAAAGGGCAAGTCTTTATGTGCTTGTAAATTGCTATTCTTTAGTAATATGGCATCCTGAATAAAGTTCAAATTTTAGATATACCAGGCTTGCATCAGAGTTTCTTTTAAAATGGTTCTTTTTTAGTTTAAAAATGAGAAAATGAAGCCACCATAACAAACAATATGATACATTTAAAGGAGAAGTACAGACAAAGTTCTTTTGGCTGTACTTCTCCTGTGGATCACAGGCGTGCAGTTCGTTCTGTACCCCAGTGATCCATTTTCATTGATAGCGGGCTGAAGTCTGCTGTTGGCTGACGTCACTCAGCCAGTCCAGGCTGGGGAAATGATCCTGACTTGAAAGTCGGGATCCACCCCAAGGGTCTGGAGCAGCACATGGCTAAGCCTCTCAGTGATCTGCTGAGAGCCCTAGCCAGCCACTCCCTCCCCTTCCACAGTCCTGCGCTCCAGTGACAGCAGAGGAGGGCAGAGCAGAGAGCGGTAACTGACAGTCCCCACTCTCTGCTCAGAGTAGCTGTGAGAACTCAGCAATCAACAGTCGTGTGATCACTGAGTTCTCACACTTAGAGCCAGTGGGGGACAGATGCACTTCGGACCGATACTGCATCCACCTAGATAAGTAAAAAATAAATATATACCATATTTCTCTTTTAACAATGAAAATTAATTGAAACTAAAAAAAAAAAAAGCAATGCATAAAGAAGTGTAGGGTACTGATCATCAAGCTATACATTATACACTTGACACAGAAAAACATATAAATTAAAATTTTCACACAGTATTAAAAAATATAATCCATAATTATAGGCAAAACAATGCCCACATCAACGGATGACAAAGTTACATCCACTTTCAAAGTATAGATTTATTTATAGAGGTTGAACATGGTTAGAATTACACACCAGGGGCCTCTTTGTATTGCTGTCACCATCCTTGAATCTATCCACTCTATTCCTTGCAGTAAGGGTGCATTCACACTTGTCTGCGATTATACGCAGGAACCCTAGTGGGGGTTCCTGCGATTGGCTGCGAGAGGCAGCCCCATGGAAAGCAATGGGAGGCTGGCAGTTTCAGCAGCTTATCAAGCCTACTTACATGTAATTGCTCATGCAGCAATCACATGCGAGTGATCAGCCCTGGACGCAATCTGCGTTTAGGTCAAGGGATGATCACTCGCATGTGATGGCTGCATGAGCAATTACATGCGAGTGGGGGTGCAATTAGTTGTGGGAGCTGGAAGCCTCCCATTGCTTTCAATTAAGCTGCCTCTTGAAGCCAATTGCGGGAACCCCCGCTGGGGGGGGGGGGTAATCACAGGCAGGGTGCACTCACAAGTGTGAATGCAGTCTGCTGTATATTAAATTGGACATTCATACCATTACGTTGGCTTATAGCTTTTGTGTGAAAGATAACAATGATCAAAGGTGCATTTGATAAACCAATTAAAGTTGAAGAGACTTTATTAATACATAATAGACAGTCATATGAAGAATCAATGCAAAAAAAGGCTCAGATACAGGGATTGAATAATATAAAAAGATACATTTTGCATAATGTAGAGTCAAATATCAGAAAGGAGTGGATAAGTCCGCAGGGAGACAAAAAAAGTCTTCAAAGGTTGAATGCAGTAAAAAGGAAATTAAGGAAAAGCTACGTTTTAAGCTTCACTGTGTACTAATGGGCTTGATTAAGCAAGTTGAAAAGGAAATGTGTTGTGGCTGTATACATATTTTTATCTGTTTTGACTGGGATTAAAATAATAACAGTTTAAAATAGGTCAGCCACATAGATATAGATTATTGTATATTCATAGTTTTATATTTATTTTGAACCAGCAGGTGGAGCTCTTGGCTCCTTTTCACATCTGTATCTACTGTATACCTGTTTGAATTAAAGCCTGCTTACAGCCTCTGTAGCTCCAGCTGTAAACAGATCTAAAACGACAGTTTAAAAACATGTAAACATAAACTAAAAAACAAACTAAACAAAATCAAAAAAAGAAGTGTTAAAATCAATATACATTGAAGATGTACAAAATTGACTTCTAAATTATGTTAGTATCATTTGAGAGACTAGTTTAGCACGCAGATAATTTCTAGGAACAAAACTATTAAGGTTCATTTTAATATTTAAATAGGGGAGAATGCCACTAAGTATCACGGCAGAAGTTGCTGGCGATGAAGCAGACAACCTATGCTTGTTACAAATTGTATGAGAAAGCACCTTAAAGTGCATCCAAACCCCAAGTTGTCATCCCAAGAATTTGGTTTGGCAACATGCATTGACTTTTTATTGTAGGAGATGTGAGGTGTGAAATTTGCTATTGAAGAAAAACATTTTGCTCAAGGATTACGAATAATAATATTATATAATAATAGTTATAATAATTCTCAGTGTAATACTTGCCATATAGAGAGTAGCCTATTTGGTATAATGTATCTCCTTGTTCCAATATATAGGGAGGACAGAAAGAGCATTGTCTGCATAGAGGAGCATGTGAGAAATATTCATAAGGAACTAAAACACATACTGTAGCTAAACATTTCGAAGGAATACATGAATGCAAGCCTATGCACTAAAAGTGTAACTAAAGGCACAACTGTTTTTGTTTTGGCCATCTGTATCTCATTGGGGAGGTTTACCTTCACTTCCAGTTCCATAGCTAAAACATGAAGTGAGAGGAAATCCCTCCAAAGGGAGAGAAACCCGATGTGTCATCAGGGTCATCAGAACCCTCTTTTTACATGTCTTAGTTTATGTTCTGAGCATATGTAATTGTAAGAGCTAGACATACTATGATCTTTTTTACCTATCTTATGTTTATCTGTGCAGATCTGCACAAGTTTTGGATTAAAGCCTTCCACAATCTGTAAATTGTCAATTGTATCATTGTGTGCTAATTCTATTGAGACTGTACGTTACAGCTATCGTGCCACAACTGGATCAGCTAGAGAAATCACACTTCCATGCTTAGAATGAAGAGGCAGAACAGTCAAGAAACCATTTAGCTCTGTTAAAAAAAAAAAATCATCTATAGCTCTGGAATATACTGTTAGATGTGATATGGGCACTGAATGTAAAGCAGCTTAGGACACCCACATGGAAGAAAAATATATTTGAATTTATTTTAAAAATATTTTTTCCAAACATATTAACATATATATTGAAAAATGCTACAATCTTGGCCATATTCAAAATATTTCAACATATATTTCAATATATATATATATATATATATATATATATATATATATATATATAAAAACTACATGTTGAAATGCATTTTTTATTACAAAATATATGAAAGATATTTTAAAAATACATTTCAAATATGCTGTATGTCTTTAAAAATACAAATCTACATTTTTGGAATGCATTTTCAAACATATGTAAAAAATATATGTTACAATACTTTATATGTTGAAAAATATCTGAAGAATATATTTTAAAAATCTACATTTTTAAAAATATTTTTTTTTTTAAAAATATATTCTTCAGATTTTTTTTTAACATATAAAAAAGTAATTTTAACATGTATTTTTGCATAAATTTGTAAATGCATTCCACAAATGTAGATTTGTATTTTTAAAGACATACAGTATATTTGAAATGTATTTTTAAAAATATTTATCATATTTTGTAATAAAACTGCATTTCAACATGCACTGTGTGCGTGTGTGTATGTTTGTATGTGTTATGTATGTGTATGTGTATGTATATATACATACACACACACAGGGTGATTGAAAAGTAACTCTTTATTTTAAAAATCTTATAATTTATTTTTTTAATCATTATTTTTACAAAAAATGAATATGAGAAGAACACACATAACATGGAGATTTATTTAAAATTCGATATGTGCACCAGCATTCTCCTGCAGCTTCTGAAGCTGCTTGGGAATCACATCAACTAATCTTCACAGGAACTCTTGTGGGATGGCAGAAATAACTTCTTGTAGTTGCCCTTCAAGTTCTTCTAAAGTCTTTGGTTTCGTAGAGTAAACTTGTTCCTTCAACCAACCCCAAAGAAAAAAGTCGCAGGGTGTTAAATCAGGGCTTCTGGCCGGCCACTCATGCGGACCACGTCGACCCAACCATCTCCCAGGAAAATGTTCATTCAGCCATTCACAAACAATAATAGCAAAATGTGGAGGAGCACCATCTTGCATAGAAATCAAGTCTTCAATATTCTCCCAGGTATTGACAACTGGCCAGATTTCATCTTGCAGCATAGTGAGATATCTTTCGGCATTCATGGTATCACAGATTTAATTGTCATAGATTAACCACAAGCCTACAGGGCACTTATACCCCCTTCCTGCCCAGGCCAATTTCCAGCTTTCAGCGCTGTCATACTTTGAATGACAATTGCGTGGTCATGCAACACTGTACCCATATGACATTTTTATCATTTTTTTTGTGACAGATAGAGCTTTATTTTGTGGTATTTAATCACCTCTGGGTTTTTTATTTTTTCTTAAACAAACCAAAAACCACTGAAAATTTTGAAAAAATGTTTTTTCTTTAGTTTTTTGTAAATTAGATTTTGTAAATAAGTGATTTTTCTCCTTCACTGATGTGCGCTAATGAGGCTGTAGTGATGGGCACTGATAGGCTGCACTGATGGACACTGATAGGTAGCACTGATGGGCACTGATGAGGAGGCACTGGTAGGTGGCACTGATGGAAATTGACCGGCATCACTGACGGGTACTGAAAGGCAGCACTCATATTTGGCACTGATAGGTGGCACTGACTGGCACTGATAGGTGGCACTGACTGGCACTGATAGGTGGCACTGATAGGCAGCACTGATGGGCACTGATAGGTGGCACTGACTGGCACTGATAGGTGGCACTGACTGGCACTGATGGGTGGCACTGACTGGCACTGATGGGTGACACTGAAAGGCAGCTCAGATGGGCACTGATATATGGCATTGATGTGGCACTGATTGGCACTGAAATGTGGCACTGATGGGCACTAGCAGGTGGCATGGATGAGCACTGAGAGCTGGTACTGATGGACACTGACAGGTGGCGCTGCTGGGGCCACACAAATCATCAGGGCACACTGATCATCAGTGCTCTGATGGTCTGTGTACATGTCCCCTCCGAGGAATGCCGATTACTGGCTCTTCTCTCCTTGTGATTGGACACAGCTGATCACATGACCGAGCCGACATCTTCGGCTCTTTCCGTGGATCGGTGATCCACTGTGTCAGAGGGACACAGCGCACCGTCGATCGCAGCGCTGCATGCTCCGGGAGGCGCGCATGCGCGGTTAGAATGGGAGAGCGTCATATTACGTCCTCCCAGAACGAGAGAACCACCTTGTATCTGTCATATTACTATATGGCGGGTGAGAAGTGGTTAAGGAACATACATTAAAGAATTGAAAAAAAAGTAACTTCATATAAAAAATTTATAAATAGTTTAAAACAGGGAGTTATGTTTCAATCACCCTGTGTGTATGTATGTATATATATATATATATATATATATATATATATATATATATATTGAAATATATTTTGAAATATATTGAATATGCCCAAAATTGTAGCATTTCAAATATATGTCAATATATTTGGGAAGAATATTTTTAAAAATATATTTCAAATATATTTTTCTTCCATATGGGCAGTGAAGCTATTGTCATATATGCTTGTACATGCCTGCAAGCTAATCACAGCACAACATTTTAAAACCTACAATACCAAGCACAGAGCTAAGTAACTGATACATTTCTCAAGGACTGGTAATTAACTATTTCATTGTCAGGACAATGTCACAGCAAAACATTACATTTTGCATTCATCTGTGGAGACTGATACAAAGCAAGAACCAGAATTAGACATGTGTGGTTTGTTTCATTCCGAAGCAAAATTCGGACATATTTTCCATTATTTAGAGAGTCGGATATATCCGGAATTTGAATTACAATAGAAACAAATTTAAATGAATCTGAAATAATGAAATGAAATTTGGTTGAAATCAATTTGATTTGAATTCTAAAACAACCTTGAATTCAAACACAAATTCGAAAACAAGAATAGAAAAGAATAGAATATGAAGGAATGGGAAAAAATAGAATAGAATAGAAAAAAATAGAGGGGAAAAAAGAACAAAATAGAAAATAAAAGAATAGAACAGAATACAAAAGAATAGAAAAGAATAGCGTAAAACAGAACATAATAGAAAACAAAGTAATAGAATATAAATAATAGAATCAATTAGAAAAGAATAGGAAATATTAGAATAGAACAAATTACAAAAGAATAGAATATAAAAGATTAGAATATAAAATCAAATAATATAAAAGAATAGAATAGAAAAGGTGAGAAAAGCAAATCAAAGAACAGAATATAAAACAATAGAATCAAATAGCATGGAATAGAAAAAATTAAAATAGAAAATCAAAGAATAGCATAGAATCAATTAGAATAGAATACAAAAGATTAGAATAGAAAATCAAAGAATAGAATAGAAAAGATGAGAATAGCAAATCAAAGAACAGAATATAAAAGAATAGAATCAATTAGCAAATAATAGAAAATATTAGAATAGAAAATAAAAAAATAGAATAGAATCAATTAGAATAGAAAATCAAAGAATAGAATAGAAAAGAAAAGAATAAAATCAATTAGTTTAGAATAGAAAAGATTAGAATCGAAAATCAAAGAATAGAATAGGAAATCAAAGAATAGAAAAGAACAGAATAGAAAATAGAATAGAAAAACAATAGAGTAGAATGAAATAGAATATAACTGTCTTCCAAAATTTGAATTCAAATAGAATTAATTTGAATGGAATATATTAGAATAGAATATAAAATAATAGAATATAATTGAATAGAAAAGAATAGAGGAAAAAAAAAGAACAGAATAGAAAATAAAAAAGTAGACAGACCCTTCTTCACTCTGAGGCTGGGAGATGCTCCATATAGCTAGTCCCACCCTCTTTTCTGTGTCTTTAGTTTCTGTTCTGAGCACATTTGCTGAAGCTAGACATACTGTACTATGATTTTTGGACCTATATGATGTTCTGTTAAGGTCTGCACAAGTGTACATTAAAGATTTCTATGATTTGCAAGATGTTCTTTGAATTGAGTCACTGCCTGCTACTTCTACTGGGACTCTTAAGTTACAGCTATCTTACCACAACTGGATCAGCCATCTGCAGCATTTGGTACAAGCCATCAGTACCAGGCGACACAAGTGATGATTAAGTTCTGTGAAGGAACTGTGTGTTAATGTGTTATGCTGACAGTGTCAGGGCTCCCAGGTATGACCAGAGGTGTGTGGCTGACGCAGGGAAACGCAGACCTCAGATATGTTATAAACAATATAATTTATTAACACTAACAATACAAACATAAACGCAGTGCAATACTAAAACATAATACAGTGCAAACAAACCAAACCAAACCAACCACCCACAGATAACAGTACATACAAGCAAGCGTCGTCAGGCAGGCCGGGTCAATATCAATAGGGCAGGTAGGTACAGGGGGAGCAAGCGGAGATTGGTCGGGGTCACAGGCCAGGTTCAGCAGGTAGCAAGCAGCGTAGTGCAGAGGGTCAGGCAGAGGGATGGTCAGGGTCACAAGCCAGGGATCAGAACAGGTAGCAAGCAGCGTGGTACAGAGGGTCAGGCAGAGAGATGGTCAGGGTCACAAGCCAGGGATCAGAACAGGTAGCAAGCAGCGTGGTACAGAGGGTCAGGCAGAGAGATGGTCAGGAGCGAGCCGGGATCAGAGCAGGGGAAGTCAGCAGCGGTTCAGAAACAGGATGCAGGACAGAAACAGGATACAGGGCCCAGGACAAACACAAACCCAAGGCAGAGTCTGTGGGTCTGGCCATCCCTTAAATACCCCAGCATAATCAGCTCCAGGTGTTAGCTGGCTGCAAAGTTGAGTCTCTGATTGCTGGGAGCATCCGCTGGCCAGCCCTGGTACTGCAGATCAAAAGGCAGGAGAGTCCCACCATTGCTGGCCAGTCCATTCCTGACAGACAGTGAATATTTGTATATTGTGAGAGGTATTTTTAATAAAGGAATTGTCTGTGATTTTAAATCCTAACTTCATGTTTTTGAGAACTTTTAAGTAGTTCATTTGGATCAAGTTTTCCCAAACTAACTGTTACCATTCCACTGTGAAACACAGTGCTGGGGCGGACTGACCATTTGGAAACTCTGGCACTGCCCGAGGGCCCGGGGTCAGTAGGGGGCCCCATGAGATGCCCCTGGTATCTTTTTCATAGGCTTTTTTGAGTTTGGGCAAGGACACAGGGGCCCCATGATCCCCTATTGCCCGGGGGCCCCATGAGTTGTCAGTCCTTCCCTGCACAGTGCTATACACTTTACGTAGCTGAGGCTGTTTACAATTTATCCAGTGCTGACAGCAAGTGCACCTGTTAGTTAAGGAAATCTTTTACTTGGATTAGTGTGATCCAAACAAACTATTTAACGTTTAATCAAACCTGGAGTTGAGCCTTAAAATACTACACAAGGAGAAGAACATTTTTTTTTTCTACGTGATAACATTAATTTTTCTGCACAACTAGGGGCGGACTGACCATTCGAGCACTCGGGCACTGCCCGAGGGCCCGGGGTCAGTAGGGGGCCCCATGAGATGCCCCTGGTACCTTTTCATTGGCTTTTTTATAGGCTTTTTTGGGTGTGGGTGAGGACACAGGGGCCCCATGATCCCCTATTGCCTGGGGGCCCCATGAGTTGTCAATCCGCCCCTGTGCACAACATTAAAATAATATAAATAGATTGTATCACATTCAGCAAAAATTGTTGTGCCTACAATATGTATTCAGCTGTATTGCTACAAATTGTTTTAGGCAGTTCTGGGTTATTCTGCTTGCTTTTCCCTCAGTGGTATTAATGACATTGCTATGAATAACAGTTATAAATCCTGAGATTGTCATCATTGGGAGAAATGAGCAGTTTTGTCCCACTAACATCTCAGTCATTAAAAAAACTAAAGGTATACAGTGTCATATTTAAGATCACAAGCACTGAGCAATATTTAAAGGTAAATATATTGTTCTGTTTTCAGAGGCCTCTATAGAACATACTGTATATCTATCTATTGAACATATATCTTCACAGGTATCTTTTTGTTTAGCCAAGAAACAAAGATGAGCAAGGTATACATGTTAAAACCCTTGGTGCACCAACTAAATATGATGATGCTATTCACTGCCTGTATGTAAAAGCTATGATGTGGTACACTGTTTTCATGTTTTAGAAGGAGAGGTCAGCAATGGCTACCTTCTTGTTCTTCTCAAATGACAGGTAATCATCATACAGGGGAGAGGAAGACGCTGTACACAAATGTGAGTTGCTTCTTGTTGTTTTTTCAAATAAAAACTCTGCTAAACTTGAATTACTACACTATGGAAGATCTCTTTTTTGGCTCACTATTATGTGAGTGAGAATTTGCAGAGGATCGTTTTAGAGGACCCTATAAGTAATAGAGGTGAAGGTGTGGAGGAGGCCAAATAGGAGGACAGCCTGGGAAGGAGAGTTACCAACCAGGATTTTTGAGGATCCAGGGTGATCCTAAAGGCTTTTAGGCCCTTAGGGGTCGCTGAAAGGAGGTGAGGAGGCACTGCAGCTGGAGTGGAAGAGTGTGTTTACACGAGTGGCACTAATGACACACTGCATGTGTATATAAGCATCACCTGAATTATATTGCTTTATATTCTTCATTATTTGAACATTGGACTATTGATTAGTAAATTGAAGTGGCACGATCACATGTTATATGCTTTTGAAGTGGCACTATCACAGGATATATGTTTAGTAGTTAAATATGAAATGGCACTATCACGATATATGTTTTATAAATATTGTTTATGAATTAAGTGGCACGTGTGTAGGGCACTAAGAGGATTAGGTCACTGTGAGATCTATCACAGGGTCTATATATTTTATTTTCACTATCCACATAAAGATTGATTTGCATAG